GGGGGCTTGGAAGGCTTCTGCTGCCCATCCGGCTCTCCGGGGGGGTGGGAGAAGCAGCGTGGAGGGGTGGGGGGGCCTTGGATGGCTTCTGCCGCCCGTTTGTCTCTCCAGGCGGGAGGGAGAAGCAGCGCGGAGGGGTGAGGGGCCTTGGAGGGCTTCTGCCGGCTGTCCAGGTGGGTGGGAGAAGCGGCACGGGGGGTGGTGGTGGGTCTTGGAAGGCTTCTGCTGCCTGTCTACCACTGCCGCCCGTCACCTGCTCTCCCCAAAGGCCTCTAAAGCCGGGGGGGAGCACCAAAGACGGGCCCGTGGTGGCCGGCTCCGTACGGCTTGGCGGGTGGGCAGGAGAAGCGGCATGGGGGGGTGTAGCTAACCTCCCCCTCCTGCCATGAATAGATTTGTAATTAGAAAGAGGAAAGTCCTTTCTGATGCTGAAGATTCCTATTGCACACCTACAACATCCTGCAGTATAGACCTGAATGAGAGGCCAAACGAAGGCATCTGTGATGCCCTAATTTAGTAAATTTCAGTTCAAAGTTACCTTTATAAATAAGGCAGAAACAAGACTCCTGTAAATGAATGTCCAGGAAAACTTTAAAAATATTCCCCTACAGACTTTCTTACTGTTGCCTTTCTTACTGTCAAATTTGTGACCATTAGTTTGTCCTAGGCACATGTTATGTAGATTTGCAGATCTTAAAATGACTATTCTAAAAGTGAATTTCAAAAACAGGACACAGCAGGAAACTGTTGAGATACCACTATAACCACTGGCAAACTCTCACCTTTTCCTGGGTTTGGCCCAGCCCAAGGGCATTTTAGGGAGATTCCCAGGCCCCCTAAATTTCTGGGGAGCCCCTCCCTAAATCCCCCATGGCCCTGCCTCCATAGATAGTGACAATGGAGGCCCCTCCCTGTGATGTCACTGGGCCCCAGTTCTTTTAAGGAACTAGCATAGCAATGCCTCTGGCCCAGCCCAGCCCCAGCCCCCAGAAATTTAAAAGTCTATGCCCCTGCTTTGGGCAGGACCACATTCCATAGGTGCAACTCTTCCTGAACCTGCATTAGTTCTGCTTCCTTTTACCTGTTGTAGTGACCTGAATTATTCTGTGCTTTGCAACAGATGAAAGAAAAAGGAAGGTCACACAATGGCAGTGGCACTATGTGGTTTCCTACTATAATGATGCTTTTTCAATCTAATTCCTCCACCAAAAACACAGGAAATAATTTCAAGGCAAATGGCAACAAACAATACATGAGCTTTACATCTGCCCTGCAGGCCTGTTCTGCTCTCATATCTTCTGTTTATCACTCTAAACTTGGATAAACCACTCCCTCATTCAAAAGTTCATTCCTGAGGAGAAAATGTCAAAAGAAGTATTTGGCTGTTTTAAGTGGAATTCTTCATGACACAAGGTATTCAGTGTACCACTATCATTATAGTAAGAACATCTAGCATCTACTATTGTAATTATTGATGGCGAAATTACTGAAGAGCTTAAAAATCAGTCGAAGCCAATTGGGCAAGTTATTTTTTGGTTAAAATTTAAATGATTTTATAATGTATTTCAGTGGCAGAATTTAAGTGTTCTGCATTCAGAGTTCAGAACATACATTCCTTCATTGTTTCTGATTAGCAGATATGAAAAACAGCCACCACACCTTTTATTAGAACCAAAATGGCACATTTATTGTGACCCATGTGCTATAATTTTTTTTGCTTCATTTTGTTCACGAGGGTAAAAATGACACACACACAATAAGCGGCATGTTTCTTCAGGTTTTAAAAATCTGTAGAAACCAAGAACATTTATGATCTGTTTTGTAAGAATCAGTCAATCTAATAAAATGAATTGAATCTCTTCTTAGAAGCTTTAGACCAAAGCAGACAGCATATTCTTAAAATTTCTAAATTCATTGTTGG